TGAAGCAACAAATCGGGCAAACCAGAAGGTAACCCGGCTGTCTTGCCCAGCGGTGATTTCTGAGAAGGGAACCCCTGGAGGGTTTGGGGGAAAGCAGTCGATGCAAAGATGCCCGCGAGCGGGGTTCTGGGAAGGGAAAAGGCCCGGCGGCTGGATGGGAACTGGCCCTCTCAGTTCCTCTGCCAGCCCCGGCTCACTTCTCCTTTTGGGGGGTTGTGCCAGGGACCTCAAGAGGCGGCCGGGGAGTGGGGGGGCCAGGCGGTGGGAGGGAATGTCCCACAGAGTGGCTGCCAGCTTCCTCTCCCAGCCAGCAAGGAAGTTGCTCATGCGCACAGGAAATTGCACCCGCCAGCCAGAGCACACACGCACGCACGCATCTATCGCTTCCGAACTCTGGCCAGGCCCCAGCGACATACCCTGTGATGCCACCCCTCCTCAACAGAGCAAAACAGAGCAAAACAAAGCAAAACAAAGCAAAGCAAAGCAAAGCAAAGCAAAGCAAAGCAAAGCAAAGCAAAGCAAAACACGACACCCAGCTCATCAAATGATGAGACCCCATTCCAGGGATGCCCCCGCCCCCATGCTCCCCAGCGGGAGGGGCAAAGATGAGGAAGCGGAGGAGAAGCAAGAGCAGCCAGTGGCCGAGGCCGTGAGGAGGCTGCGCGCAGCCGGGGGGGGGGGGGCGTCCCGGGGGGCACCAAGCTCCAGGGCCGAGCTCTCGTGGCCGCTGCTCCCTTGCGGAATGGCTCAAAGCAGCGGGCTCATCTCACAGGCTCTTCTGCAAGGAAATCGGGGGTTAATGTTGTCTGAACCCAGCCAAGGTAATGGACTGTGAGGAACAACCCCAATTTCACAAGCCAACAGCAAACCATGGCATCTCTTCCCGGGTTGGTTAACAAGCCATGGCTTGTTGTCATGGCTGGATCCAGAGAAAACGACAGCCCCCATTTCAGCAAGAACCCATGTTAAGCCACAACCCACACTCAGCCCTGGAGTGTGTGTTATGTTGTCTGAACCAAGCCAGCCCCACTTCCCAGTGGGACATACTCCCCGGGGGGGGGGGGCGATTGCTCAGAATTTCCTCGCAAGAAATATTGTTTGCGATTTCATTACTGATTGTGGATTTCACTTCCACCTGCCCGGGAGCTTCCGTATCCCAGAAAAGGCAGCTATAAACAGCAGCAGCGGTTCAGCGAGAAAGGAACGGCCAGGGCTCCGTTCAGGCTGACCCACGGCGGTTTCTCACACCGCTGTGCTGTTAATGATTATTGCAGGGGCAAAACCAGCAGGGCAGCGTTTGGCAAAGGCCTGGAGACCGGCCAGAGCTACCCCGGGGGGAGCTGCAGAGAAGGCTGGGCAGACTGTGGGCCGGGGCTCCGTGGGGGTCCCCAGAGCAGTACGATTCTGCCCGGACAGGCTCCCCCATTTTTCTGTAAACTGCCTGCCTGCCTGCCGTTCTCCCTGACATTGGGTGAAGCCGTTTCCCACACCCACGGCTCACCAGGCTGGGAAAACACCAGGCTGTGCAGATGGCGACGTTGAGGCCTCGGCGACGCCACTGACTCATCCCGTCTCCGCTGGGATGTGGTCACCGGGGGACAGGACGGCAGCCTGGGAACTGGCCCTGCGGCTATTTTGGGGGGGGGTGTTTTGAGAGAAAGAGAAGGGGGTGGCAGGAGGCGAGGTGGCCGCTGAGGGAGGGCCCATTGCTTGAGATTCAAGGGCCCCGCAGAGAGATTCTCCACTTGCCTGATCCTCCAGCTCGACTTGGGCACTCCGAAGGGGCAAGGCCAAGAAGCCCCCGGTGCTGCCAGGTGCCGGCTGGCAGCGTCTGCTTGTGGCGCGAGAGGGGAAGCGGGGCCCCGAGCAAGGCCCGCTCCAGGACTCAGCCTGTGCACGGCACGGCTGGGGGCTGATCTACATTTGAACCACGACGGGAGGGCCAGGAGGGTGGGGGGATCCCCAGGGTCTGAGAGGGGGCTGGCCAGCCGCTCCTGGACTTGGGCAAAAGATGCTGGCCGGTAGGTAGGGAAGCCTCCACACTGAGGAGAATCCCTCCCAAAGGCACTGCCTGAGCCATCTTGCTGTTGCCGCAACCAGAAGGCAAAATGGTCCGATCCGGAGGGAGGTTCTGCCCCAGAGGGGGTCCCGTGTGGACATGGGCTGAAGTCATGCGGCAGGCAGAGTGCTCCGCAGCGACGCGGGGCAAAGAGATGCCCCTGCCTGCCCGTCCCGAGCCCGCTGCGCACTCCGAGTTCGGGCAGAGCCATCGAGGATGCAGCTTCCTTCACTCGTGCGCCGTCGAGGCCAAGATGGGCCAGCGGGTTTCGACTTTTCAGAAGCGAACGCTGCCCACTTTGCCCCACGCGCGGGGCCCCGCTCGGCCTAGAACCGCAGGGTGGCAGAACCGTGCCTGGCGCCAGGGCGCCTGTTCGCGGCCAGGGCCCGCATGCAAAACCGTGCCTGTTGAGCGGAGACGGCGGCTGCTTCTACCGCCGTGTGGGGCAGGGGGAGGTGTTGACTCAGCCTGACCATTCCCATGAACCAAGCAAAGCAAAGCAAAACACACACGTGGGACATGTGTGTGTGTGTGTGACTCATAACAGTAGATCCCATCAGTCACAACAGCCGTGTTGGGAGGGTGTGCGGTGTGAACTATTAGATTTTTCAGATCAGGGTTTGCAAACCGTGCAGTTTTGCTTTCCTCTCTCTGTTTTTGACAGAAGCAGTCACTACTTTCCAAAACAAGGCGGCGGAAACTGCGCCTTCCCGCAAGTCACACCCTTTGCCGGCCGGCCGGCGGCTGCGGGGGCTCATGCGCGGCAACCGGAAGGCCACGGCACGGGCCCAGGGCTCCCTTCCCGGGCCTCGTTTGCCCCGTCTGTGAGCTGAGCCACGGCCACGAACATCAGGGAACGGGCCCGGGAGCAGGAGGAGGTTCTGGATGCGAGGACTGTGCGAAGGCTGAGTCTTGCTGCTCGGAGCGATCCTCTGGGGGAATGAACCATGTTGGCCGATTCAACGCTGCGCCCGGCCGGCACAGGGAAGGCCACTCCGAAGGGGAAGCCGGCTGGCGGCAGCTCGTGCGCAGCCGTGGGTCGCGGTGGGTCTTCTTTCCTCCAGGCTCCCACACGGAGGCGCAAGCAGCTCTGCGGATCCACATGGAGCTCCCAGAGCCAAGGGACGGAGGCAGCCCCTCCTGATGCTTGAACTGCCAGCCCCAGCTTCACACACCAGGAGGGCCTTCCCAAGGTGTCCCGAGAGCAGCAGCCACGCCCCCGGAGAACCACCACAGGTGAACTCCGCACCACCGCCCCCCTTCCTCGCACGAGGGGCCCAAGGCCCCTGTGGCCCCAGGCCTCGCTCGAGCATGTCCCCCGCCTCTGCCAGCCACGTACCGGCTTCCCTGCCGGCCTTCACGGTGCCCCGCTGAGCGCCAGCTGAGTCGGGCTCTCCTCCCATCCGCATCGGATTAGCTCATGCCACCTGTGGGGCAGCCGCAGGGGGGCAAGACGTTGCCCAGATGTGGATTCCCACGCCCTGCGTCTTCCTGCCGAACGGCCTTGGAGAGCTACCTGGGCCTGCCTGCCTGCCTGCCTGCCCGCCCACTCCTGGCAAGCCGGGATCCTGGCGGGGGGGGGGGGCATCGCCCCTGCATACCCCCCGCAGGAGGCAGCAGGCCAGCTCGCTCCCGGCTACCAGCGGCTGCGCAAGCGGCTCCCTTGGGCTGCTCAAAGATGCTCTACCTGCACGGGCTGAAAGCTCCGCAGCCGAGTGGCGGCGAACGGACGGATGGACGGATGGACGGAGCGCCTCCCGGGAGGGCAAGGCCGCAGCCAGCTGGGAGGGCAGGGGGGCCCCACAGAGGGCGGCGGACTCCACCTGCCCCTGCCCCAGACGCACCACCCGAGCCCCCCCAGCACGCGCCCGGGCAGGCGGCGATCGATGGAATCCTCCCACGCCAGGCAGGATCAGCCGTGTGGCAGCTCTTCTGTGATTTGGGGGCCAAACGGCTCCCCCCCCCGCCGCTCTTCCAGGTCGTGGGTGGCCGGCAACACCGCGGCCAGGGCTCGGGGGGCCGCCTCCTGCTGCTCCACTGGGTGCAGGCGCCTCTCGCCGGGAAAGTCGGCTTGTGATGAGGTCACGCTGCCCTGGGAACACAGTGCGGGCCCACGGGAAAGGCGCCGCAGGGGGCAGGGAGGCTGCAGGCTGAGGGGGCGGCCGAGCCGGACACCCGCAGGTCTCCGGCCATGTGGGCTCCCTAGGCCCCCCCCCCCCGCCGTGCCCGACCACAGCGCCCACTCTCCCCAGCCGCGTGGCTCAGGCTGGGGAGGTCGAAGCCGAGCGGCTTCCTGGGCTGCGGGATGCAAAGGCGGGGAAGGAGCCGCTCGGACTTTGCCTCCTTGCCGGTTGCGCTGCCGTGGGGTCCCTTCTTCCTGAGGAGAGACGATGGTTCTACTCGGAGGCGGTGGCTACGGATCCCAGTGGCTCCCCGCTACCCCCAGCTCCGGAAGCAGGGTGTCTGTGTGCACCGGCTGCTGGGGAACATGGGTGGAGGGTGCTGCCCTGCTCAGGTCCTGCCAGCCGGCCGCTGGGCGGTGTGGTTGCACACACCTCCAAGCTATGGGCGAGATGGTGGCGCTTCTGTCCCCTCACGCCGAGCGAGGCCTTCCTGGGCAGGCCTCGGCCGGGAGCGCTTGCTTCCCTTCCCGAAGTTAGATGCCCAGGGCAGCCCCGGCCGCCTCTCGCGTGGGCATCGCCGCTGTCGGAGTCCCGAGGCTGCGTCAAGCGAGACGAGAGTGCTCCTGCCCATGCCTCCTGCATTCCAGGACAAAGGGGCAGCCCGATCCAGTCAGAAGGCTCCCTTTCGAAATCCGTCAGCCGATTTACGTGCCTCGGGGATGAACCACAAGCCTGGTGCACATGGCCTTCTCCGAACTCCCCGGCTCGCTTGTTATTGTTATTTCAGAAAATCACTAATTACCGCTGACACGGTTTGCTGTGGTTACATAACGAGGGCATTGGGTTTATATCAACAGCGCTCTGCGCTCGGGTTCTCCTGTGTGGACTCACCACGCAATCACAGCGCGGTGATTCATCAGGGTTTCTTCCCTTGGCTAATCAGGAAACACAAAGGGAAAGAACCTGGTGCCCTTTGCACGCTGAGCACGTCCTCTTTGCTTACCGGAACCAGGCGTGGCAACACACCTCTCCCGTCTCACCCCCGGTGGCCTGGAAAACAAGCAGGCCCCTAACTATGCGCAGAGTGCCGCCGACCTGTCCTTGTGGCAGTTCCAGCACTTTCCCTTTTGCTTTGTTTCAGCTGGAGCAGGTACTGGCAGGAAACAGCTGGGGGGAAGGACGAGAGGGTCAGGAAGCAATTCCTCACTGAGGGCTAGAAGCATTACTTAGACAAGTTGAAAGCAGTGTTGGAATTTTTTGCATGGAGGGGTGACATTGCTCCTACCAGGGCGACTGCTCTGTCGGTTGCTGCAAAACGGGCAGAAACCCCACAGGCGAAGGGCTCCACCACTTTGCAGTTTTCTTTCTGCCCTTCTTCCATCAGAGTAGAGCATGAGCCCCCCGCAGCAACCCTGCAGGGTAGGCCAGGCTGGGAGAGCATGGCTGGCTCCCTCTGCTGAACTGCCCCATGAAGAACCGTCTTTGCGGAGCAGGAGATGCTGCGCAGGGAACTGAGGTCCGCGAGAAGGCTCGTCCTGAAGTGGAGGCGCTCTGCGCGTTGGGGGCTGGCGGTGGTGTCGGGGGGTGGCTGCAGGCCCACCTCCCCAGCCGCGACCCCTCGCGGAGATGCTTCGTCTTGGCACGACACATTTGAGGGCCCTGGGAAAGGGGCTTGGGCTCAGGACCTCCAGTGCTCCTGGGCTCGCCGGGAGCCTGCCCACCGAGCCCTCTTCCCGGGCCCTGGGCCCGGAGTTAGGGGCCCTGCAGAGAAGCGGCTTCCAGAGGCCGTGCCTCTTGCAGGAGCGATTGCATCCTTGGCGTCAGTCGGCGAGGGACTCCCGAGTGCCGAAAGGAACCTTCCCCCTCCTGTGCAACCCCTTGCAAAACCACAGGCTGCCCCTCCAGCTCCAGAGGAGAGCATGGAGCCGCCCCAGCCGGCCCGCCCCTCTCCGCTTGCTGCCTGGACACACACCCGACACCGGCGGTGTCGAGCCCTAAGCAGCCCCCGGGACCCTCTTGGAGCTGAGCCCCGAAGTTTGTGCGGTGGGTAGCAGCCGAGGCAAGAGTGTCTCTGAGCATGTCTGCTGAGGACCCCTCCCAGCTGGCTGCCTTTTCCAGGGGAGGGGGACCAAGGATCCATGCACAGGAAGCGAACCCCAGGCCCTGACCCCAGCCACCCCCTTAGGGCTCCAGAGGGGAACCGCCAGCTGGAGCTGGAAAATGCGCCAGCCAGACCCCGCGGCCAGGGGTCACGGGGCTTCGCTTGGTTCCCCCGCCTCCTGGATAAAGCAGTTGCAGGGCCGTTACCTTTCCGAGTGAGTGCGGAGGGGGCTCGCCAGCCTTGCAGGAAAGGCCCCTGCGGAGCAGCGGCCCGGAGGGCCTCCGTCCCGCAGAGGAGGGCCGGCCTCGATGCCAGATGTGCCGGAGCAAAGCCCTTTCCCGCCCTGGCACCCGCCAGCTGTGCCGGACAAGCACCCCTCAGCCCAGCCAGCCTGACCGGGGGCCACTGGAAGACCTCTCCCCGCCCGTGAATGAAGGCCTACCTGTGCCCCACCTGGCACCTGGGTGCTGCATCCGTTGCGGCAACTCTTTCCTCGGGGCTCGCGAGGCGCTTTGAAAGCCCCCGTGCTGCCTCGGCTTGCCCTTGCTGAGCCATGGGTTGCTGCCCTGGCGCCCCCTAGGGGCAGTCCCCGGGCTCCCACCGGGCGCGCTCGCTCCGGCAACCGAGTCCAGCGAGCGTGCTCCCTTCCAGCGGTTACACGGGAATGCCGACATATGCGATTTTACCCTGTCGTGGAAATTCCTCTATGAAATGCTTAAAGCCCGCGAGGCAGCGCGTTTGCTTGGATGGGGCTGGCTGCCGCGGGGCAGGGGCAAGCCGGGCGGTGGGGCGTGGGGTGGCGTTCGCTCGAGCAAGCCCGGGGCCCCGGTGGGCCGAGGCTGCAGCCGGCCGGGGCCGGCTCTGCACGCCGTCGGGGACGAGCCGCTTCCGGGAGACAACGGGGGCTTGTTTTCCGCCCCAACTGCTGCTGACACAGCTTTCGGCCTGTGGCTTGGCACGTGCCCCTTTTTCCAAGATCTCACCGGTTCCTTTTGGCTCAGGAAGCCGATGCTTTCCAGAAGGAGGGAGGGAGGGGAAAGATGCAGCCAAGGGAGCTGGGGACAAACTGTTCTTTCGCTGCCGCTGCCCTGAGCGCTCCCGCCCCCCCCCCCCCCCCCCCCCAGCAAGACAAAGGCGGGGAAGAGCCGTTACTGCTCCCGGGGGGGGGGGGGGCGAACAGAGAGGCCTTTCCAGGGAGCTGCAGAACTTTTTGGTTCGCAAAATGCCCCGGCCTGGTATGATGCAACGGTGCTTTTCCGGCCACAGATCCGGGCGGGAACGGAACGTCCTCTTCTCTCCTCGCCTGGAAAAAACCAGCGCCTTCAGCTCGTTTCAGCGGGCGAGAGCGACTTCCATCAGCAGGAGAAGCCAGTGGGCACAGACAGTGTCCCGGCAGATCTGCCTGCAGCGTAAGGTTGCCACCGAGCACAGCCGAAGGGTCGCGGAAGACAAGGCCAGGGCAGGATTTTACCCACAGCCCCGGAAATCTCCATTTCACAGGCCTGGCAATAAGCGCAAACCAGATCGCAGTACACAAACGGGCACACCGGTCCCACTTTATGGAAATGCAGCCATGGGAAACGATCTGGAGGGGAAGCGGGTCAGAAACGAGCCCCCCTTCCACCACCCCCCCCCGGCGGCGACAGAGGCCGGCTGCAGTCTTGTAAGGTTGGTTTCAGGCCCGTCTTGCTTCGGCAGGAGAAGAACAACCAGAAGCCAGTGGAAGGAGGACCTCTGGAGCCTCTCAGAATTGGGGGTTTTGTGCCAGCAGGCCCTGGCTGCAGCGGGCTTCTCCTATTATGGGATGGCCCTGCAGCAGCTTTCTTCAGAGAAGAATATACATGGGGGAAATGGAAGCGAGGCTCATGAGTCAGCAGCGCCCTCCACAGTCCAGTCACTGCAGCCCTGGATTGCTGCAAAGGCCCCCGGCCTGCAGTCCAAAGAGAGGCAGGGAATTCCTCGGAGGAATTCACAGGGAGAGGCGGAGCAGGCCAGGAGGGAAGGAAGCCGGGCCCCTTTGCTCAGGGCCTCAGTGGCGGGGCTGCCCCCTTCTGGCCGATCGGCACGAGCCGGCAGCTCCCCCAGCGCCCGTGCGGAGCGCCTGGCCGGCCGGCTACAGCATGCCCTGGGAAGGCACTTTGCCCGTTATCTTGTTCGAGCACTCCAGGAGGGCGTTGTGGATGTCCTTGGCGCAGGAGATCTGGGACTTGATCATGCTGAGGTACTGGGTATAGGGCAGGCTCTCCGTCTGGACCGCGTCTGGCTTGGTGGCCGTGGGCACGAGCGTCGGGGAATGCTTGGCGCTGTCGAAGCTCTGCGAGAGGCACTCATAGGCCAGGCGCTGGGGGAGGAAGAGGAGGAGGCGGCGGTGGCTGCGTGAGAGCGGGCCGGCTGGACCGGACCGGAGGGCCGCTGCTCCAGCAGTGGCCTACCACAAATCCCCAGGGAAGCTCCACAGACAACGTGAAGGCACAGGCCTTCCTTTCCTTTCGCCTTGCCCCTTTCGCCTTGCCTTGCCTTTCCACTTGCCCCCTGCTGGCACAGGTAGACTGCTTCTGTACAGGGAGGCTCTACTCAGCCTAGTTGCCACTGGTGGGCCACCTTCTCCCACGAAGCTGCTAAATCATCTTTCTGCATGGCCCAGCTTACAGCAGGGGACCCCACCCATACATTAGGTGCTGTGTTAAGGAGGGAGAATGTGGATAGCAGGCCCAGCTCCTCTGCCAGGTCAGGGACTGGGCTGTCTCCCTAGGGCAGCCTCTCACAACTGGGTGCCTTCCAGGTGCGTTGTACTACAGCCCCCATCATTCTCCGCCAGCGCTGGACCAAAATGCCCGAAGTTGCAAGTCAGCACATCTGGAGAGGACCAGCTGAGTCACCGATTTCTCAGGCGCACTTCCTCCCCTCGAACGTGGAACCTACTCGGGGGCACCAGGAGAGGCTGCATGCCGGACCTCCCCAGCAGTCCGACTGCACAGGGGCTGACCAGCTAGCCTGGGGGGGGGGGCTTGAGCCGGATGAGGGTGTGACAGCCCCCCCGCTCATGTCCCAAGCGAGAAGGCTGCTCTGGGGCCACTCACCAGGCACAGCTCCAACTGGTCGCACAAAGCGTAGAACTCCTCGAGGCTCTTGTCCACGCGATGCACGGGGCCGTCGCTGCTCTTCCTGAAAGGGGGCAGAAGCCAGCTTTTAATTTCCTGCAGCGGGGGGAGCAGGAGAGCCCAAAAGCGGTGCGGGAGGGGAAGCACCGGCGGAGGGCGAAAACTCACTGTCCGCTGTCGATGTTCGTGTTCTGGACGAAGTTCTGGGCAGCCACTTTCATGAGGTTCTGGAGGCACAAGAGGAGAAGGTCCTGCATTGTTTATTTATTTACAAAAATTTGTATGCCTTCCATTACTTCCGTCTCTGGACAGCTTAGAACATTAATCAGAATAAAGTAAATTAACTATTCCACGCTGGCTGAAATCCAATAAAATACAAACAATAAAATCCAATTAATACACATTAAAAGGTCTTGACCTGGTGCCAAAAAACATATAATGATGGCACCAAGCGGACCTCTCTGGGGAGCGCATTCCATAGCCGGGGCACCACCGCAGAGAAGGCCCTGCTCCGGGTACTCCATCTCCCAAGCCGTTGAGGGAAGCGGACCCTGCAGCCCCGTGCTGGCTGGGGGTGCCCGCCCAGCACACCGAGGAAGGCGGGCGACCTGGGAGGGCCTTGCTCCTGATCCCACAAGCATGATTTGGGGCGTGTGGGATCGCCGCACCCGGGTCACCCGCACTCTCAGAGGCCCTGGTCTGGAGGCATTGCAAGCCTCCAGTTCTAAGGGCCGCAGGCTTGAGGCGTGGCGGCCAGAGCCGGGCCTGGGCCTTGCACAAGCAGAGCCCAGCCCTCCCCCATTTCACAGAAAGGAAGGAAGGCGACCCTGAGCAGCCACACTCACCACCCCGAGGCCGACACGATGTGCTGACAGATTGTGCTCACTGATTCCAAGAGCTCCAGGATCATTTCCAGGACTCCGGAACCACGACGGGAAATCTCATGTTAACAAAACAAACACCAGTGTTGGAAAACTGGCTGCCCAACCCTCCAGGATCTGGGCAGTATAAAGGCAAACAGAAAGGGAAAAGTCCATTCTGCTTCAGCTCAATGGTGTCGAAGATATCGATTTGGGAATGAAGCGGCTCCTCGCACCATGCGGGTCATTTCCCTGAAGCTCTGGACATGCGCCAGGGTACCCCCTACCATGGGATCTTGGTTTTGCTCTGCTGCTCTGCTCCCCCCGCTCCCCCAGTTAAAAAAAAAAAAAGGCTCAGCACTGGATACACTCAGCCAAAGTAAGATCCGTCATTCCTTCAGGAGGAATCTACAGCGTGGGGCTGTAGAAAACCTCCCTCTTATCTTTTTAAAATAAAGCAGCTCCGGCATTTTTTAAAGGGCCACCTGCTTGTAAATTTGAAAGAAGGTGATCGTCTGTCCCAGGTGCAGGAAGCCGACAAAGGCAGAAAGTGAGAGCCGCCATTCCTCAAGGCTGGGCCACGACCTACTCCAAAGTGGAGCCAGAGGGATGGATGGGCAGGCACAGAGCACATGGCCCCGGGAAGGCCGGTTCAAGGCCCTTCTCTGCTGCGAGCTGGCTTTTGTTAAATGGCCTTCGCAGAAAAGCCCGGGCACGCCATAGCACCGTTCTTCTGGCACGGGCACGTCAAAGCGTTTTAGCCAGTTTACCCAGGAGCAGCAGAACACATCTTTCAGTCTTGTCCTGTCTTCTCCCCCGGGATGGCAGCTTCCCCCAAGGGTCCTGCGGAAAGCTGCCCTGCACAGAGAGGGAGATCGGCAGACTCTGCTCCTTCCAGCCCGCCTTGAAGTGCTCCTGTTGTTTACTTGCTGTTGTGCATTTGTTTCGTGCTCATCGCCCCAATCCTTAACACTCATTTAGAAGCATCCTGCGAACAACGGATCCAGTGCGCTGCCCCTGAGAGGGCGCGCGGGGAGGCGTTCTCCGGGACGGATCCGCGCCCAAACGGAGACGCTACCCAGGTTTACCCAGGACGGATGCCGAGAGCCCCGAAGGCCCAGCGGGCCCCGGGGCGGCGGCGGCGGGGGAGGGGGGGCAGCAGGCGCTGCCGACCTCCCGCCCTGCCCTGCCCTGCCCTGCCCGGGGCGCCTGCCCGGCCGCTGCGGGAAAGGGCCACCCGCGGCACGCTCCGAAGCCCCGCCGCCCCGCCTCACCTGCAGGCTCTCCTTGAGCTGCGGCAGCAGCAGGCGGAACCGCTGCAC